CGCTCCCAGCCTGCACTGAGGTCCTCCCCCCTTAACCCTTTACTCCAAAAAAGAATAAAAAACAACCACTTCTGGTGGTGCCGCCCCAAAGAAGGGCAGATGGACATCTCCATCCTTGCTGCTAGTCCCCTCTACTCCCCGCTGCGTTTGCGGTCCAGCCTGCGCCGCGAGAACGGGCTCGCAGACCTTTTGCTGCCCCGGCTCTGGCCAGACGCTGCAAGGGCTGGGTTTCACGGGGCACAGCTGGGGCGGTCAGGCCACGACCATAAAGGAAAAACACAATGTCACCCCAGCCCTTTTTTCCTTGGGCCTAACCTGTCTCTCGAAGGAGGGGCTCTGTGGTGCAGTGCAGAAATCCAAACCACGAGCCCCAGGGCTTGTTTCTGCTGTTTATTTTCCTACCTCACATTACAGACCTGAGGCACTTTTTTTTCCAGCCTGCTGTGCCGCCGTGCCATGCCGTGCCTGGGAGCCTTGATGGCTGAGAGCAAACACCTGGGAGCTTTTGTGTGCGTTTATTAACAGCCCGGAAAAACCCAGGCTGGAGGGTGGAGGCCTCTCTAGCCAAGGAGCATCTCAGATCTGCAGGGCATTTTGGAATAAGCTCTTCCCCAGAGCCACGAGGACCGGGCAAGACCCTCTCCTCCACCAGCGCTGCAAGCCATCCCTCATTGAAACGCAGCCACGCCTGGCGCTAGCAGAGCCCAGCTGGCACGAGCAAACTTTGGAGCGTCTGTCTCGTTATGCAAATCAGCGCCTGTGCGGCCCCCACGCGAGCAGGTGCCAGGAACCGGGCCCTGCGCAGAGCAAAGGCAGGACGGTTTGGCTTCTACCAGCACCGGCTGCAGCGACGCCGTGGGTGGCCGAGGATCCGGGAGTCCTGCAGCGATGCATGCGTGCGCTCGGAGCAGCCTCTCCTGGGGCCTGGCTGCCCTCGCCCCCGTGCTTCCCGGACCGCCGGCTCCTGGAGACAGCCCAGCAATGGGGAGGGAGGTGGCAAGGTGCAGGGAGAGCTCCAGGTGGGAGGTGACAGGTGCTGGACGCAAACCAGCCCACGGTCATTAAAAACACTGGGGTTGACACACGTATTTATTTATAGAGGACGTCTCTGCAGGGGAAGGGGTCCGAGATATAACGGCAACAGCAACAGAGCACGACAGGCCCGGCAGCGGCACAGCCGTGAGCAGCGTTGGGGCTGACGGGGTCTGGCTCCCGCTCGGGCCGGGATGGGTCGTGTATCGTCAGCCTCAGGGCAGGGACAGGTGGCACCGGATTTCTTAGCAACAGGCTAAGCCCAGATTAGCACGGCGCTACAGCGAACCACCTCTGCACCAGGGATTTCCAAACAGGGGCACCGAAGACCTGGGCAGCCTTTGGAAAAAACCCCATTTCCTCAACTAAGATGTCAGAGAGGAAATGCTGCATCCTCCATTTGACCCTGCCTGGACCTGGACTTACAGAAGGATCTTGTGAGGCTTCCTCCACCCCGCTCCAGTCACCCCCGGCCCCCGGGAAGAGAGCGCCACGCTGCCGCGGTCTACAAGTCCCACGGGGGCCTGGGTTTCGGCAGTGACACGTGCAGCTTCCCCGCCTGCTCGGTGCCTGGGCTGCACCTCTGCTTTGGATCGCACCAGGGATGGGCACAATTTTGAGGGCTCACGGTTGACGGTGCTGTGGGACAGAGCTAGAGGACGTGGGGCAGGACTGGCCCCAGCACCACTGGTTTTGGGGGCTGAAGGCACCAAGGGAAAAGCTGGGGGGAGGTTTTACAGGCCTGGTGTTGAAGGCACCCTGGCAGCACGCAGCTCGGGGCCGGCGGCTCCTCGGGCGAGGAATCCCACTCCCAAGAGGATGGGTGGCTTGGACGGCAGCTGCAGCCCCAGCCCCAGAGCCTGCCTGCAAGGAAGGGCACCCTTCATGCCTGCGACGACACGGGGGCTCGCGGCACAGCGCTCCCCGCTGCACAGGTCCGGGGACCCCTCAGGCATACGTCTCCCCGCTCCCGCCCTCAGCAGCCTAAAGCGGGGCTGGCCGAGCGCCCGAGGGGGTAGGCCGGGCTTTGTCCCCAGCCTCTCCCAGCCGCACTGCAGCCCAGCCCCAGGTGCAGGAGAAGCCCCAAAATCCACCCCCCAGGCACCCTGCGCACGGCCCTGGGCCGAACCAGCGTGTGCAACAGCTGGGAGCTGTCCTGCGGGGATGGAAGAAGCCCACGGGCGCCGTCCTGCCTGGGCACGATCGAGCAGAGGGAGTTTCCTAGCAAGCCTTAGCCGAAGGGAGAGAGCTACAGCGATCCTAGCGCGTGCCCAGGGCCCCCCAGCCCCTAGTCCGCCTGCAGGCCCTGCTTAACCCTGGAGGGCAGCGAGGACGCAGTAGTGGAGGACGAGGACCGCGCCGCCGGCCAGGAGCTGCAGGATCGGGGCCAGAGCCCTCCGCCCAGCACCGTTGACGTGCACGTGGCCGTCCAGCTTGAGACAGCTGGCCTTGGGGCCGGCGGGGCAGGGCTCCTGGTAGCAGGTGGTGGCCACTCCGCCGGTGCACACGGGCTTGCCCGTCTTGCAGGCTTTGCTGCACCCAGCGACATAGCTCGAGCCTGTCTTCTTCATCTGGCAGGAGGAAGGACGCAGGGGTTAGTGTGGCCTGGCCCTGCCCGCCTCAGGCTCGCGGTCACAGAGCCTGGCTGCCTATGCAGCTTCCTGCTGGAGCCTGGGGAAAACGAGCACTGGGCCCCTCTCCGGAGCACCCTGGGGTGGGACAGGAGCCACAAACACCCCCATAAGCGCTACCCCCAGTCACAGCAACTGCAATGTGGCTGCACCACCATGCCCAGAGCTGCCCGCCCGGCTCCCGGCTCCCCGCAGCCCCTTTGCTGCAGCAGGCAGCTGCGGTACCTCGCAGAAGTCGAAGCCGACGATGCACCGGCCGGCAGGCTTCTTGCCCTTGAAGCAGCCGTCCCCGCGGCAGGAGAAGGTCGCGCACACTTTGCCCTGCGAGAGAAGGGGGGAGAAGCCGCTGGTGCACCGGGGCCAGGACTGGAGGGGGCAGTCGGCGCTGGTGCCATGCTCCCTGTTTGGGGGGGGGGAACTCGCACAGCGGGCGCCAGTGCTGGCTCTCAGCTGGGTCCTGGGCTCTCGTCTGAGCTGGGCACCGTCCGGCAGGGCCTGCCCTGAAAGCGCAGCTCGGGAAAAGCCAGCGTGGTAGAGACAGCTGCATTGTGTGGGGTCAGAGCCCCGTGTTACATGCACCGCAGGGGGTTTCTAGCAGGGGCTGTGGGATGCCCAGCTGCCTGCCTGCCCCCTCCTCTATCCTGGCACAGACGAGTAGCAAACCCCTTCGGGAATCTCTCCGGAGCGTC